ACTGTCACCGGAACTCCCCTCCAGTGGATTAACGTGCGTACCCAAGACCCTCATAATTTGCTGCAAGTCTCGTCGTACAGCCGCTGACTCAGCCTTCATTCCCTCCATCGTGATCTCAATTGCCTCCAGTCTCGCATCGGTATCGTTCTCCATCTTTGTTCACTTCTCGCAAAATTGGGATCTGGCAGGTCTGACCAAATTGTTAGGTTTCTTGTTAAAGAAATCCTATCTCTCACTCAACAACTCTCGAAAACAGTACAGAAAGTATGTATAACCTCTGATATTATTGACTTTCAAGAAAGAATGCAAGAATAGGAAGAACAAAGGAAGCTTAACCTTCCCCAACAAGGATAACCAAATCCTGTTTTAGAAACTACTAACAGTCCAAAAGTCCCTCCCCTTATTCCCCTTAACTATTTATACAACAATAAGTGTTCCCCCTTCCTAACTGTCAGACAGTTAGGCCAGCTAATGCAACTAACTACTCACATACTCTTCTTTCTCCTAACATACACCCTCATCATCCTATCAGTAAACGTCATTGAAAAACATCTGAATATATATGAAAAGAAAGACAATTAATTACCATAGGAATCCCGAGTTCTTTGAGATCATTTTCTCCCATCTGCTTCAATGCAGTCATATCCACCTGGTTGAACATATCAGAGCATAAGATAAGTAGCAGTACAAAATTAGAACAAAACAATTCATTGCGGAAGCATAGTTATCAAAATCATACTTTATATTCCATTAATCCATACATCCGTACTAAGATAAATTGAGACACAAAACAATTTATGATCACTTAAACACTTTACAAACCAAAGAGATTGATAGTAAGAGTAAGCTCTCAAGCTGTTATTTAAGAGTTAAATTTAATCATTACAGTATTGCCCCTTCATGTAAGGATGAAAGCCACCCAAAGAAGAAAGATATCAAAAGAATTTACAAGGCGTAATTCTTAAATAATGCTTCAATTGTTAACATTTGTAAAAGATCCTACATTGACTATAGATATGATCAAATTATAGCATAGAGGTAGGGTGTAAGCCTCTCCTTTCAAACCAGTCTTATAAGATTGAGCTAGACCTAAATCCATTTTCTAAAACAGTATTAGAGCCAATCCCTAGCAAGGTGTATTGGGCGTTCGTGGCACCATAAATATTTGTTCCCACACTTGAGATGTCCAATTATCGGCACGAATGAAGGTGTTGAAGACCTTATATCAACTAGGGATATGGCCAAATAACAATATATAAGTGAGTGTAAAATCTATCTCGCAAGCCAAGTTGAGTTAAGCCTAAATTCACTTTCAAAGATTATTTATACCCAATTTATGCAACTACAAAACATTCACATCATACCAACAATGACACAATTTGCCAATGAACACTAGTACAGTACAAATAGAGTAAAACTATAAAATTCAATTAAAGAGAATAGTTTAGTCTGAAACTAATATGCAATAATGTAACCAAGTTGAAGAAGTGAGTCTCTGTTAGGAATCTTTAGTGTAAGAACCTAACAGTCACCCTCACCACTGATATGCACTCACACAAGACAGAAAGAATCAAACAATGGGTATGTTATTCATCACAGTAACAATCACTGAGTACAAAGTGTAATCGAGGGCCTAACCCCTCTCACCAGGTTCGAAACCGGTCTGTACAAAGTATACAATTGACTAACTCCCCTACATAATTACAAAAGGTTTACATTTATAGGCCCCTTGCCCGCCTTCTCCAACTGTTCCACCCTTCGGCTCTTTCACCCCTATCTTATATCCTATCAGTCTCAGTCATTCAATGGAACATATTTCCCTAAACATGTAAATTGAACACAGAACTTACGAGAATCCAACCACCAATAACAAAAATGAAACAAACTATCCTGAAAGAGAAAAACACAAACTAATTCAATAGGAAAAATACTACTCGGGAATGTCACAGGACAATTATGTGAAAGTTCCCAATATTTATAGTCTTTTACAGTCATTTTGTTAGTTAGCATTCCAGTACCAATAAGTAGATGATTTTGACATCTAACTGAACACGGGAGAATAGAAATTATCAATTGAAAATAAATACATAATAAATATGATTTCATTTACGGAAAGAAATGAGTTACATACTTCCTCTGCCTTAAAGAGAATGGCATATTTTTGAAGTCCTAGTGCATGTAACAGACCATCCACAGTCTGGTTTGGTTGTTGTACTTGTTCATCACCCTATATGATAACCATCAAATACACACGTTAGGATGAACTTTTTACAGTTAATCTGTTTCAAGAACTAAACATATCTCAAGTATCCATGATCAATTCAAAAAATTAACATAAACTTCTGTCTGCTAAATTTTGTCTTGATAGATGCTAACATTTCTTCACAAAAAACATAGAGCAAATATGTGCATAAGCAAAATGCCAGATACGCATAAGCATTACACACAGAAACTTCGTTTAAATAAAGAGGCACCCAAAGCACATTCTATTGATGGAATATTCTTTTTTCTAAATGAGTGTTTCTCTAGTATAACCTTCCCCATTCTTACAAGACTATTCGGCTCATTAATTTTTTTAATAACTAAAAAATGCCTTCATAAATCAAAGATGTTAATTCATGTCAATGAATCAAATAAGGGTCACATGAGGTAGTATTAGTGATTAGCACCTAAGCACATGGGGAAACCTCCTATGAATGGTAGTTGTCAAGGGGAGGAACAAAGCCACTTAAGTGCTCCACCAAGCATCCTATACTGTTAAATGTGGAATTTGGTCAACCCAAAATACCCATAATCGTAATCACCTACACTAGAAGCTGACATCCCAACAGTTGCACTTTACAATGCTTCACTTAGCTTTTTTAATTATTCCCTCCATAAGTACACTGACGTCTTGGCAGCTGCACTCTACATGCTTCACTTAGTTCTTCTTAGTAGCTCCTCCACAGATAGGCAGCTTTTCTTGATACATTAAGAGCATCATTAGTGCAAGATCTTATTTTGAGATCTTGCACTACTTTTTGGCGGGTTTCTCCATCACATAGGACATGAGCTTTCTTAAGATCTCATTAAACTTTTGCTATAGTGGTAGATCTTGGAAAATGTGCAGATATTCATGCTTTTTCTACAAGAACCCATCCTCCAAGCTGGAGATCTTTATTTTGGATTTAGTGTAAGATTTTGTATTTAGATCCCAGCTCAAGATCTTGCACCAAAGATTTTCTAATGACCAACTTTGATACAAATTATAAATGATCCAAGAACTTAAGGAACCTTCCTTAAAAGCTAATAGTGGTTGTAAGCATTTTAAACCCCACACTAGAATCTCATACTTTCAATATAAGACTTAGGTCTCATACCTCGAAATTTGATCCTAACACAGGATAACACCCAAGCACTGGGGTAACCCTCCCTCAAAAACTAGATGTCAAAAGGGGAGAACCAAGTCACTTGAGTACTCCGTCAAGAATCCCATGCTGCTCAATGTGGGACATATCAACCAAAGTCCCTACAGTAAAATTTCCTTTAAAAGTTGACATATCAACAGCTACATAGTACAGCACTTTACTCACCCTTTTAAGTCAGTCACTTCATATGTATACCTTCCAAACTATGACAACCAGCTCCAACATCAATTTATAAGCACACAAACACTTTGGAGACCATCTTAAAGCTAATTTTAGAGGAGGAAGAAGCTAGTTATTCAAGTTTCCTATCAAGCATCTTATGCCACACAATGAGGGAGTTAGACACCCAATAATATCCAAGCCCTATTCCCAAACATTTTTTTTAAGGTTCGAATCAACTTGCTGGTTCAATCAATTTAACTGAAAAGTATAATACATTCAACTTGTGCAAATACAATAAACTCAGGACTGATATGAACAACACAGAACAAGTAAACTCAACAAATCAGGGTCAACAAAATGGCAAAACCATCCACAAAATAACCGAACCCATTAGCTTCTATAAGCCAGCAAGGTTGTCATTTAGAGAGGCATTCATAACCAAACCAACATTCCATTTCCAGCAATAAAAGAATGTACCACATATTGACCATCATATCTCCTAAAAGGGAATGTAACCATCGCCATGATCTAGTCTAAGTTGGGGTAGCAGAGGACAAAATCATTCTCACCAGATAAAACAATAGAACCCTTTAGCTTTTCCAAGGCAGCCAACTTATCACTTAAAGAGATATTCACAACTAACCAACATTCTATCAATAAAAACAATACGGACCACATTACAATTAATTATATGACCTTATATCTCCTAGAGGGGAGCTAAGCATAACCATCACTAGGACCATGTTTGGGGGATGAAAACAATCATTGGATGCCCTCCAGAATTAGATAGTCATAGTTAAGCATCAATTCCCATTCATGTCCAACTATTCATCTCATCTTGAAACATATAGGATAAAATATTTTAAGATATGTTTAAAATAAATACTATTGTAATTTCTTTAAGAAACAAAATTAAAATTGAAAATCATTATTAAATAGTATCCAAATTAAACATATGAAACTCAATGCATAAACAAATTATAGTTTACATGTAGAAGTGGTGAGAAAGAGTTGCTTCTATCGATATTGTAGTCAAGTGGAGTAATAAATAAATTGCCACCCCTCACCGATCAATTCTTTCACTTGATCAAGGTTTAACCTAAAGGACAACAAAGATTCGTAAAACAATAAATTGATGTACAAAAAAACATTAATTCTAACTTCTAAGCACTCTTTCATTTTTAAAGATATCTAACTGTATCCGTGTCAAATACATCCTCGACACAGACATGTTAGTCTAATGAACATATCAATGCATCACCGGTGTGCAGACAAAGAAAGAAACTACTAGAAAAAACTCAAATCAAATGATAAAAAACAATTAAAAACCAGAAAATGCACAACTTTACACCACTGAACAATCCAAAGTTAAGGTCAAATTAAAGAAATGGGTCCTAGATCTGACCCAGAAATGCTATAGTAGGATGGCGGATGGTAGCATCGCTTTTATAAAATGCAGATGATCTTACCACCAAAGTTCCAATCCAATCCTCGGCAATGCTTGCTATCACAGAAAATTTGAGTTGTGGCTGTATAGCTGCTAATTGCAACTCATTTTGTGGGTGTCAGATTTTGGTAGTGGCAGCTACTCCACACCACTTAAGATAATAAATGTAATGCAAAAAATTTACACTTAACAAATATTAATGTTCAAGTTAAAAATAAGACCCAAAAAATAAAGCCGTATTCATCATCGATATTAAAAAACCACAGCTTAAGCAAATAATCGTAGTTAGTCTAAGTCATAAGGCAGTGAGAAATAGGTCATCTACTTTTTAAAGTTAATACCTTCCTAAAAATTCCCGAGACAACACCAATTGGACACATAATGCCACAAACCCAATGTCTGTGCACAGGATAAAGGAAGGAAGAAAGACATTGAGTAAGGAAACTGGATATTAAGTGCTGACCTTGGCTGGAAAATGTCAAAATGTGAAGCATGCTGAAAAAGCAACAGAAAAAATGTGGTAGATTGAAACCAAGGATGTCTATACCTAACATGGTTTTGAAGGATAAAATGATTTGGAATCATAGAAGTAACACCAAAACACTGTCTTATTTATCTAAGAACAGAGGGGAACATCATGGATTTTCACTAGTTAGTATAAATACTTCATCCTCTGCATTTCAACCAAAATTTGGACTTTTATCCATGTGATGTTAAGTTCCCAATTGCAGATTCAGCATCACCACACTCTGGGACAAATATAAGAAAAACTCCAGGAGGCACTCAATTTTCGAATTATTGACAGTGCAAAGTTTAAAACATTTAGCATACTGTATCAAGTTAACTAACATGACCCAAATCTACAAATCCAGTTAAGCCAGTCACTCAAGCATTTGTCTTACATAGGAAGCTAGGATTACCAGAAAGAGAGCTTCTAAGCTTTCACCAAAAGCAGATTGCAGAGTTCACACATACCTTTTTAATTATCAAATCCGATTAACGACCAAAATTTATAAATACCAATCCTCCAAAAACAGTCCCCATAGTAGAATATCATGAAGTTGTAATTGTACTCAATCCCCCCAATAAAATTATAATTCACCATTTACTGTTGCTATAAAAAGGATTCCTTAAAGAATCTTTTATTGAATCCTTGTTTGTCTTTATGGCTATAGAATACTCAAGCCTATATGTTCTCCTTACATAAAACAACCCCCTTTCAGGTGCTATAGACAAACGAGAGAAACACAATGGACTCAGATATCCACCAGATGGTAATGGGAAAAATGGATATCTACAGGTCAGAAGATTATTGATACTCACCACATATGATGACCTTTGGGCAACACTGCTTGATGGAGGAAGTTGGCCAGCATGAGATGCTACAGGCTTTGCAGTTACTGGAGGTAATGTGGACATTGTAGAGCGTGACATGAAAGATTGAGGTGTACTTACTGGAGGCCTCGAAGCTTCAAGAACATCTCGACTTACATATGGAACTGGTCTGACGCCATCATATGTCCTGTTTAATGGCCTTCTCTGTAGGTCTTGGACATCCCTTTGAGGGGAAATACCCCTTGAAGTACTCGGAAACCCATCTGGTGATCTTCTCCTTATATGATCCCATGTCCACGGAGAGTACGAGCTTCTCATGGATTCCATGCGCATTAAATCATCAGAACTTCTAGCCGAGGGAATTTGCCTCAACAAACTTGTTTCCCTTGATTCTGGCATACGCTGCTTTGAACTAAAACTATTTGTCAGAGAGTGAGCTGTCTTTGAAAGTTTTTCACGGAGATCCATATGCCTCTTACTACCGTTGCTGTCAGCATGCCTAGATGCACTTTTTTGCATGAGCTTCAACCGAAGATCATCTTTACCAATATGTCCAAATAAGTAAATTTAGAGAAACAAGATTAGAAACATAAAAGCCATTGAGTAGCATAAAGATGCAAGGGTGGTAAAGACTGCTAAGGGAGCTTACTTCCATCCAGTCCATTTTGTATGCTTACATCTCCTCGCTGTCTGCAGAGAATATGGACAGCAAATTTGATGTAAGCTGGCTACAATTAAATTATACAAACAGCAGGAAAACTACTCTCTCTCTCTCTCTCTCATTTGTCAGTCTATATAACAAAAAAACTAGAGACACACCGTTTATTGCCGCCAAGTCCATTTCCGTGCCACACAGAACCATCTACATTGTTTCCAATCCTGTCTCTTACAGACCGCTTAGTGCCAGCTGAGGGAAGAGAAGAAAAAGAAGAAACATCTACAGAAGATACATCCCTCTTCACAACCTAACCTCAAGCAATACAAGGTCACGGAAATCAATCAATCATGAAAAATCAGAGCAAAACTCTATCTCAAAAGGTAAGAAGTGGTAGCGAAAAAAATCTAAATTGAACTGCATTCGTTTACTCCTAATGAATAAATTGAAAAGAGAAAAAAAAAAACAGAAGAGCACAAAGTCATGCCGATAGTAGAACTAGACGTAAACAACAAACGAAAAGCACACGAAGAAGTTCCTTGTATAGAAAACATTACCTACAATAAATTCCGAATTAAACGAAATTGCAACCTACCTGACCACTACGCCCTAGAGTGATGGTAACGCGACCCCTCGAATGATCGGACATGGCGACAACCGAAACCCTAAACTATCAACTGAGCAAAAGCTTCTGCAACTCCGAATAGTTACCGTGAGAATCGCTGAGAGCTAGCGTAACCCTAAACCTAACCCTAGTCCCATTGCCCGTGACTCGAAGCAGAGAGTGCAAACTAAACGTCAACACCACGGTTTGACAGATAATAAAATGTACGAGCTTCAAGATTCGGATTCACATTCAAGAGAGACAAATGAGGATGAAGGGTTAGTGGAAAAGAGAAAGAGGCGAAGATTTTGCGTTGAAGTGAAAACGGTGGAGTACCGAGGGGTAGTGCAGCTGTGCACAGGGAATATCCTGGGAGCATGATCGAACTAGGACCGTTGGATCAACTGACCTCGGTCTCATATAGGGCTAGACCACTCTTTACTAATATATGCATCAAAACTAAAGTGAGAAAAAGACTCTCACAAAAAAAACATAGAGAAGGCCCACTGGATTAATTTAATTATTTTTGTGGTTAATTAATTTAATTTTTTTATGAATATATCACTTTTTAAAGAAAGCAAAACCATCCATAAATTTCATAATAAAATCGATCTTGGTGACACTACGTATTGTAGAAATCTCTTGTGACATTTACTAAACACATCTCATCGATTATCAAGTACACTTTTTTTCTCACTTTTCACTTTTGTAGTGGTTCATCCTATTAGTTGCTTGATTGATTATTAAGTACACCTTTTTTTTCACTTTTCACTTCTGTATTGGTTCATCCTATTAGTTGTTTGAGATTGTAGGTTTGTAGTATAAGATCGGTCTCATCTTATGAATGGTTAAATATGTTTTTAGTTCCTCAAGTATTACGCGATTTGGGTTTCGTCCCTCTTCCAAAGGTTTGTTCATTTTCATCATCTTCCTTAGATAACTCGAATTTTTAGTACTCAAAAAGTAACGGCGTTAAATTTTCTCTGAGGTGGCTAACGGTGTGCTAGATCACTCTTCCTTTTTCTGAAACGTGTCGATCTTTCCTTGCTCATCTTCACTGAGGATTCTCTCCCTCCCTTATTCATCTCCATCATCCTCCAACTCTCTTCATCATTGGGCCTCTGCCTCTCCTACCGTCTCCGACTGGTCCCTCCACACCGACCAGACTGACCAGACCGATGCCAACATCTTCTACTCCATCACCATCGTCGACGAGTACATTTTCCTTCCTCTGTCTCATTTCTCCCTCGCACATTCGTCCTTCTCCAATTGAATTGGTAGTAGTGAGTGATA